TTTATTATTTTTTATTATTTTTTATTATTTTTTATTATTTTTTATTATTTTTTATTATTTTTTATTATTATTTATTATTTTTTATTATTTTTTATATTATTTATTTATTAATCAATAAAAAAACATATTTTCATGTTTCTTTCTTTCTCTTTTTATTAATATATGTTGGCTGGCCGGTAGTGGCACTAAGCCTAAAGGGGAAGGCGGTCTAGTACCACTAGGCCAAAATGGGGTATGATCCTCCCTAAGCGGAAATAAGCGGGTCCTTAAATAGGAAGTGAATAGAATGGCTTGACTTGCTTCGGGAGGGTCAGCTAGAGGTGAAGAGGTCCTATTTATACTTAATTCACTGATAATCTAGATCATTGATTTTTGATTATCAGACAAAGAAAGCGGGGTCAAAAGCGGGGTCAAAAGCAGGGACAAAGACAGTAAATGATTGAAATAATAATCATGATATCAAGAAACACGAGGATTCACATGTAAAAGTAATCATATAATAATTTAAAAGGTTTGGCCCATATTTTTCCTCCTGAGCTGGAACTCCATACAATTTGTATGGGAAATGTAGTTGATCTGGGTTTTTCTGGATTTGTTGGTTTTTGATAATTCAATAAGAATTGAATTAGTAATAGAATGGATTTACCAGCCGACATTATTTAATAATTAATTATTTATAAAAAAAATAAAAAAAAGTATTAAAATATATTCAACCACCCATCTAACCATGCACGAATACTAAACTAAATAAAGTGATTAATATTATATAAACTAATTAATTTATATATTTATATTATTTTTATAATATTATATATACCTGAATAAAGCACTCCAAATACAGGTAAAAAAGAAAGAAATAATAATAATAAATTATATATTTATATTATTATTACAGCCGGATTCTTGAAATTAATAAATTATATATTAAAAGATTAATACCGCTATCTTAAATATAATCTAGCATAAGATATTACCAGGCTATGCCTTATAATAATAATAGATTTTTATTATAATAACTGCTAAGTAGTAATACTCACCGGGAACTTATTATATAAATTAATCTAAAATTATATCTAAGATATTTAATATAAGAAGATCACTTATTAATATATACAAATAATAATAAACTGAATAATAATTATATTTAATATACTTAGCAGGGATTATATAATAAAAACTAATATTAAAATAGAATTCTATAAATATAAGATACCAGTAATATTAAAGGCGCGCGGGACAGCCGCAGCGCATAAAAAAAGAAAAAATAATAATAATAATAATAATAACAGGTGAGACAGATACAGCAGACAAAATAAATATAATAAAGAAGTTAGTAATAGTAGTAGTAATAATATAAGTAACAGTATAGATATAAACAGCACGTGAAATATGGAAAAATCAGACATCTTTATGAACATTTTTTATAAATTTCTTAGTAAACAGTAAGAAACCTGGCCACGTATTTTCAAAAAAGAGAAAAAAAAACTAGTAATCTAATATAAAAAATTAAAAATATATATAATGTATAATTAAGCTGTATATAAACTTATAATTTATATAATACAGCTATTTTCTTGTATAAAATATAAATTATATATTTTTATTATATAAACTACCACCCACACAGAACAGCAAGAAAACTGTATAAAATAAATATTTATATAAAATAATAAAAGAAAATATATAAGTAAGTTATTTTATATAAAAAAAATAAAACATATAAAGAAATATTAGAAATTATTATTATTAAGTAAGCCAGCCAGTATAGTAATACACTATTAAAAAAAAGAATTATAGAAAAAAGAAAGTAAAAAAAATCTTTAATTTTATATAATTTATTATTATAAATTAAATATAATAAATAATAAAATTATTTATAAATAAGTTTTTACTTACTAGAATATAAAACTGTAAAATTATATTTATTATTTTATACTAGTCTGCTACAGACCTGCGTGCGGTATTATATCTACACGCGGGACTCCAGAATAAAAAAATATATTATATATTAATAATTAAAAAAATCAAATTTTAACACTTTAATTTGCCGGATTATTGTGATTTCTTGATTTTCTAATAGAAAAATATATAAAACTATACTAGTCTACCTGCAGCTGCGGGGACGCAGTCTCTGGAAGAAAAAGATAATGTTAAAATAAATTAACTAGTTTACTGCGGTCCAGCAGATCAGATAAGTAATATATAATTATAAATTATATAAATTAGATAAGATTATATAACTTATTTTTATATTATATCTTACTAATCTTCTTGATACTAAGAAAGGTCAGTGATCAGTTCAAAATATAAATATATAATAATAGCTAGTATTTGCGCATATAATTAAACTTATCACGTCTCTTACATCGCTCCTAACATATATATAATAGAAATTTGATCAGATTAATATATATAATAGAAATTTAAATTAGATTAGTATTTTTCTTACAAATATAAAGTCTTATTGGGTTTATTAAGCATTACTAAAATAAATATTATTGTGAGAGCTGATTAAATATGTCTTATTTAGTGTATCTAGACTAGAATATCAAACATAAGGAGGGAAGGAGAAAGTATGAAAAAATATATATAAATAATAAGAATAAAGAAATAAAGAAATAAATATTAAAGTAATACTTATTATTATAATATTTATTTTAATAATATTTAATAAATTTAATTAGACTTAATATTCGTGGAAAAGAATACTAATCTAATTTAAAATTTTATTATATATACCAACTAAATTCAGAAGCGTATATTACCATGTTCAAATAATTATAACTTTATATAATTATTAATTAATAAAATAAAAGTTATATCATTATATTCTATATACAAAGTACTATTAAATAATACTAATTATAAACTTATCGGATATTATTTGACTGTTGTCCCGTTGTGAAGATTTCTCTACTAAAAAGATCCATCAAGAATGAGAATAAGAATGAAGGATCTTAAAAATAGAGAACATCTGTATTATATTAACAGAGGCCTGCTATCTAGCAGATTTCATTATCTGGATAACTTATTTTTCTGAAATTAAATATATATATATATATAATTTCGTACTAGCTATTTATAACAGGTAATATACAATAATTAATATAATTTCTTATAGATAAGCAGTATAAGTACAGAACAGCTAAGATAATTATATATGTTTTAATTAATTCCCGTGATTTAGCGCACTATGATAGATACTATAATATAATATTTAAGATATAATCTATAATATATCAAATATACTGAGAGAAGCAGGCTATAGTAAGAAATATAAATTATAAGATATTACCAGCTAGTAATATTCTCGGAGCAGTACTGGATTTGGCGGAGGTATTATAAAGATTTTAAAATCACGTGCTATAATAGTAATATAATATAATCTCAGGTATTAGCCACTACCGGTCTTGACAGGACTCTAAATTTATCCGGAAATTAAATTATTCATGTTCATTAGATATATATAAAGAATATAGATTATAGATCTCTACATATCGCCTAGGCGAGGGGTCAGTGTATGAAAGATCATCATTATCATCATCATCACTGTAATATGATCATATCCACGGATCATCTCAATTACTCCATTAGCTACAGAGCGGCCCAACTGCACAATGCTTGCGACACCGCGCCGTGCCAGCTCGAGCTGAACCAAGCTATTATTCGGCTTATTGGTATCGACCCCTGGCTCGAGGGGCGTTAGGACTAGGAAACACGAGGAACAATCTAATATAGTATGCTTATTTCTTTTTTATCCCTTCCCTTATGAATATAGAGGTTTGAAAGTCTGTGCTGTGAGCCGGGTGGCATACAGCCAAAAAGCGGGTAAGCTTGTTTTAAGTAATATTCTCCTCATTTAATTAATCAAGTTGCTGGTATTCAAGAGAATCCATCACCTTCGGACATTCAAGGTGATTATAGGAATATGCGGATATCTAAGTTTATGTATAACTTAGTCCTTGAACTCGTGTTTATTATCCAGATACCACGATATAATACATTAGTTAAGAGTAGGTTTAGATTTGATATATATATTCGTTCATTTTCCAGAATATTAAACCCCAGTTTAGTTATGGCTATCTATTACATACATAGCATTATTAATTATTACAATAGAGTAATTATGGTCCTGGACGAAGTCTATGGATATTGTATTCTCATTGTATAAATATCCTATGAGCCCGTCATGCCTCATATATACAGTAGATATTCTTCTGAGGATATTTCAATGAGTGCTTCTCATAATGTCAAATCATCTTGAAAGTTTTTCTGAGAACCATTGTTCTATGAATATTAGGTCTTTTCTAAAACAATGAATTGATAGAAAACAGGGCATTTGGCTGGAATTCTATCTAGAATTGCATTACAACTTAAGCACGTACATAACGAATGGACAATTTTACCGGACAATTTTGCTCGTTCAAATATGAGGGAGCATATTAGACCAGCGAACCGTTAAGTATGCACCTGCTGGCAAGCTCCTAATACTGATAAAGGCCTCTACCGTCAGATACACAATGCATATAAAATAGGAAAACAGGCTGAGCGTGGCCATTGCAACGAGTAGAAATCGGCACCAAGAGGGGATCCACTTTGGCCACCCCTCTGCTTTTCTGTTCTCACTTTTGCTACTTTCGATAGGCAATGTGGTAACTGCACCACTACTGACGCTCTCTTTGGCCGTTAATTTTCCAGGGATATCAAGCTCTTCTAATGGTATATCCATAGAGCCATCCTTATACATCTTCCAAAAGCCATAGATGATATTGACTAGCTGTCTGACCAGTGGCGCATTGTCAAACCTGACTTCGTATAAATATCGCACGAAAAAACGTTCAAAGCCCTTATCATAGATGAAAAGGTAGATAAGGAGCGGAAACAGTCCCATTCCAACAGCTGATAGACGCCATAGTAAGCGCTCAATGGATGTCGGAAAGTGCGAGTTCCACAAAGTAGCATGAAGACCACCATTGACTATGGCAGTAAAGGCTTGCACAAATTCCACTATGGGCTGAAGCATCACGACAGAATCATACGCTGCACGAAAGGACATATGGACGAATGTACCGTTAGATCTCCTCTCCGTGATGAAAGATTGTCCTCGGAATAGGCTGATGCTGGGGCTTTCAAGATCATGTCCCCCCATCTCACCTGCATCTGCATCCAGTGGGATAGGGATAGGCACAGCAACGTTCAATGGTTTTGACCACCAGAAAAGGTACGTAGTTACCGAATAGAGTATCTGGATGGCAACATGAGCCTCAAGAAGTGTTACTGGTAGACCCGCTGACTTTCGGCCTATGAGTTGCACAAGCAACCACATGGCCTGACAAACGACAATGGCCTTGGCGATATTATTCGCCTTCCCCTTGTCCTCAATAACATTGTGATCGAAATGTGACTTGGTAAGTTGGCCACTTTCAACCAGTCTCCGTATGATTCCTCTTTCCAACAATAAAATAAAACCAGGAGAACCAATGGTAGTGATCAATTCGTCGGTTTCTGTTCGATATCTCGCTTCCTTATCGCCCAAATTCTTGCCTTGGTCGCACGGTTCTGATTTGAATTTGTTTGAATCGACAACAAAGCCCCCCATTGTGACAAAAAAAGCGCCAGGCATCCCGAGTACATCCTGGAAATCTTGGAACTTTTCGTCATCGTCCCATGCGGCGCGCCAGGCGCGCAAAACACGTTTGGCTTCCAACCACTGCGACACAGCCATGCAAAATATCACTTCGGGAGTCAAGGCAGCACCTATCATCAGCGCCAATTTGTAGTAGATCCTAGCAGAAGTCCGCTGTACAGGAACCACATTAGGATGCATAGCGGTCCAGATACAGAGAATGAACGTGGTTGTACAGCTCCAGAACAGCTCGAGCGTACCCCGTTGATCAGGTCCTGGCACATATGAGGGCTCGGTCTGCGGAACAGGATGACTGATTACTGGATGAATCATCATTAAGTGAGTAAGAAAGAAAAGTTGACGCATGATGTCCAATACCATATGGTGTTTCTCTAGGTATTTGAAAGATAGTTGGGAAGAAACTCAATGTTCTATTGAGGCTGACCATTGAAGCACACTCAAAGGTTTCAGGTGCCGCCTTTATAAGGCAGGATATTGATACTCAGCCCCACCAAAAGGGTGACGTGGCAAAGAGGAGAGAGAAAAAGCAAAGAGAGAAAAAGCAATGCCAAACACGAACACAGCAGAACAAGTCCCTTTTAGTCTCTATTACACGCCCTGCAGAGTCAAGTCAAATCCTTACTCCCCTTCCAGTCTTTTGCAAAGTATCGATATTCAGTGAATCAAAGGGAATAATTAAATCATTCTGCCGCTCCTTCTGGTGGTTTTAAGTTGACTGCTTCGAACAGGACTTTTAACACGTCGAACAGGATCCCAGCGCCATAAGATCTGCAACTAAGAGCATAACTCAGATTTTCGCAGTGGTACCTAGGTTTTTCCTATGGATGCATTCGCGGCTATTTCCATGAAGAGAGATGAAGTTTCAGGAAGATAAAGTAATCCTGTAAGTAGGAGAAAACTCGAAAGTGATAAGAAATATGATATGACAGACGGGCCGAAAAAAATAACAAAGATATCTTTTGGCTTACGTGAGGGTAAGCCTATAGCTTCGCCTTTGGGCGCTGTGATTGCTTTGCTTTCGGAGGAGTGATACCAGTACGAGGATTAATCCCACTGGACGTAAATCGGTACAGTCAATGGGAATAATTTACACCAGTTCTAGAAGTTGGGGAGACTCATGTGCATTCCTGAAAGGCTATGTCGGCTTAGTATGTGGCGTCGCGTCTCAAAAAAGTTCCATCATGAGATCCTGGAATGGCCTTGCTCGGAGACTTCTGTTGGCAAGGCGAAACTTAAGAATATCCCTAGTTTCCGATTTTCTTAGAATCATGCCCAATATCTCTATCGGAAGTTCATGCGTTATGTTGGCTAGGTTATAGCAGATGCTCACTGTTTATACGATCCGTGATGGAGGTTCTAAGAGCACGAAGCCCTCTCACAATGATAGGTTCTTTGGTGTATCAAAAGTCGCTTTGATCTCGATGTGATAGGGATTAGAACGTTCGAAGCGTACAGGGACTTTTGTTACGGTAAATTATGATCACATGACTCGGGGGTTTTCCTGGATTCACGTGAGAGCGGCTAGAGTACGGTAGACCCCGCCCAATCGCAACCCAAAAGATAAATTATGGTAATACATACTTAACCACATAGAGATACCTCTTATAAGATCCAACGTTTCACATGAATTTCCGTAATATATGAGTTCTTTCAGTGTTAAAGTGAGAATAGACTGATTCTAGTTTAACTTGACTTTAATATTAAGGAGAGTTGTCTTTTACATGGGCGGGATAGCATCTATATATATATATATATATATATCTGTTCCTCTTCCCTGCCGTAACATTCAGCCATTATGAGACTCATCACAGTGCCTGTGATATTCAACATCAGGTTCAGCCACCGTCGTATTTAGCACTTGGGTCCTTGGAGGGTTTCCGGGTGAACAATGGGTACTCCAATCACAAGGTATCTTTGAGAGTCGAGGAAATAGAATTCTAGTAGAGAAATCTTTACAACAGAACAACAGTTAAATAATGTCTGATAAGTTTAATATTAGTATTATCTTATAGCTCTTTCTACGCAGAGTACAGTAATATAATTTTTTATTTTATTATCTAATGATTATATAGTATTATAAGTATTCAAAAATAATAATATATATTTTTAAATTTAATTAGGATATATAACAGAAATTCAATCAGATTCATATGTATAATAAAAATTTAAATTAAATTAAAATTTTTTCTATAAATATTAAACTCTATTAAGTCTATTAAGAATTATTAAAATAAATATAATAATAATAAATATTACTCTAATAAGTGTTACAGAAATAAATATTATAATAAAAATAAATAATATATATTTTTATATTTATAATTCAGAGATTTATTTTATATTGAAACTTTATATCTTATTTCTTAAAAAAATCTATATTTTCAGAGTTATATTATAGTATTAATATACTATAGATTCTAAGAATTCTATATCCTCTAGAAAGCTTAAATTATATATTATTATATAATAATCTATGTATATATCTACAGTCAGCTATAAGAAAACAGAGATTCTATTTTAAATAATAAATTATTAAAATAATAATATTATAAAAATAAAATAGAAAATTAAAAAATAAAATTATATTTATATATTTTAATTTCTGTGACGCCGCCGAGTCCACAGAAGATAAAAAAGATTAATATTATGATAAATAAATTTATTATAATTAGGGTTTTAGGGTTTTAGGGTTTAGGGTTTAGGGTTTTAGGGTTTTAGGGTTT